CAGCCCGTCTCTCCCAGGTGACTTTGGCCTGGCCACCAAGGTGGAGTATGATGGCGAGCGCAAGAAGACCCTGTGTGGGACCCCCAACTACATTGCCCCGGAGGTGCTGGGCAAGAAGGGGCACAGCTTTGAGGTGGATGTCTGGTCCATCGGCTGCATCATGTGAGTCAAAACGCCTCTGTGCGGCCATGCCACGGGCGTGGGGCTGGGTCCGTGTGGTCTAGGTCTCGTTGGCCCCTCTGGGTTTTGGTGTGAGCTGAAGCTTTGGGCATGCTGCCTCCGGAGTGCCTGCCCTGGCTCCACCCCGCTGCCAGCCAGCACACGGCCTCCCCTGTGCTCCGCGCACGCTGGTGTGCGTGTCTGCAGGCTGATCTGCTCTGCAGCATGGCTGCCTCCGGGCATTTCCCAAAAGCCCACACTTCCCAACTGGAACTTCCCCAGAGGGTGCTAGATCCCGGTTTCCCTTTTCAGGGGGCAGGAACCAGGTACAGCACACATGGCTGGCTGCACTGCCGCGTGTCCAAAGCCACGTGTGTGCCCTCTGCCAGGGAAGTCCCAGGATGTGCTTAGGAGGGGGTCACTTCTGCACACAAGGCTCAGTCTCTTTTGCAAGCTGACACCTGTCTCTCTGTGAACACGCAGGTACACTCTGCTGGTTGGGAAACCGCCTTTTGAAACTTCTTGTCTCAAAGAAACGTACATCCGAATCAAGAAGAACGAGTACACCATTCCCAAGGTATGACCCTTCCCATGGGCGGACCCGCTCACCTCGCAGCAGTTCTTGCTCAGCCTTTTTCCGTGCCGTCCTGCTTCTGGCACTTACCGGGCTCTCGTGTAATGGTGACATGGCTCTTGCTGCCGAGTGCCAGGAAGGGGATGTTTCAGTTGCTGGAGTGAACCTGTAGGGCCAGCTTCCTCCTGGGGAGCCAGCAGCTCCCCTGTAATCCAGCAAATGCCCAAGCTGGGCAGTTGGCACATGGGGTGAACTGGACATGCTCAAGTCCATGAGGTCTGGGCCAGGTCCCCAGCTCATCCCGCTGCTGCTGATTTGATCTTGCTGCAGTCAGTTGCCTTTGCCTGCTGTCAGGGGACTGCCCTCCATACCTGCCCAATTCTGTTTCCCCGGGCTTGTGTCCCACTTGCCTGAGGCAGCGCAGGAGCTCTGTTCCAAGCAGAACTTCCTTGGGTTGTATATCCAATGCGTTTGCACCATTGTGCATTGTCCCTGGCCCATCTCTAAGCTCTGCCTGTCTCCTCTTAGCACATCAACCCCGTAGCTGCAAACCTCATCCAGAAGATGCTGAGGTCCGACCCTGCCACGCGCCCAACCATTGACGAGTTGCTGAATGACGAGTTCTTCACCTCGGGATACATCCCCAGCCGCCTGCCCACCAGCTGCCTCACCATCGCGCCCCGGTTTTCCCTTGCTCCCAGCGGGCTTGAACCGAACGGGCGAAAGCCGCTGACCGCACTCAACAAAGGTAAGGGCAGGTGTCTGGGGGTGAGAGCAGGCTGCGGGGCTGGACGGGAGCCTGCCTGGCCTCCAGCAGCACCCAGAACCATCGATGGGGAGTGTGGCACTCCCTCTTCTCCCAAACCTGGAGCGTTTTGTGAGTGGGAGGGAGGTCTCCCAGAACCAAGGCAGGGAGGAGGTGCCAGCACTAGCTGTAGCTGTATGGTATGTGATGTGTTTCCTACAGCTAGGGTAGAATGTAAATCTGGTGCCTTTAGAGCCCTCCTCCCCGGTCATGCTTCCACGCTCTTCTCTCTCCTGGCCCAGGACCGGACAGCCCTGCAGTAGAGAACTTGCTGGAGAAGGAGGATGCAGCTGGGCTGCGGGAGCTGGGGGACGCTGTTGACTGCCACTTAGCTGACATGTTACAGCAACTGACAGCTGTCAACTCGGCCAAGCCCAACGAGAGAGTGGTGGTGAGACAAGGTGAGTCTGGGGTGGTCCTGCAGGCACTGGCCTTCCTGCGTA